CCCCAAGTCATTGAAAGTCAATCAGTCAACTCCCTTGTCCCTATCTCATCTCAAAGGACAGTTGCCTAGTCCTTATCCTATCCCAAAGGGCAACAAATATAACCATGTTGCCTCTCTTGCAAATCGGCGCCATCTTCAAAGAACCACTCAGAAGTCAACACACAGTAGCCTGCAACAAAAGAAAGCAGTTAAAATATAACCCAACTCAGGGATAGCAGAAATGAACTTCAAAATGTGGCAGGCGGCCACCTCCCTTGGAAGCCAACCGAAAACTAACATCAGTCCATCCATGAACCAAAAACTGCCACCAATCCTAAATGGATAGTAAAAGACAGATATAAATAGAAGCTTTACCACAAAGTGAAAGGGGACGTCTCTTACAAAAGAAAGGGACAGTAGCAAGAGTGACAAAGAAAAGGGGAGGCAGCTACCATTTTTAAAGAGGGATAGAGGATGATAAGGAGGGGTGATTATCAGGGAATAAGCTCAAAGGGAATAGAACCAAAGAAGTGCTAGAACAAGATAAAAACAGCAAAAGAAGCAGCAGCAAGCATAAGGAGCAAAAGAAAAGAGGCATAACTCAAAGAACGAAGGGCCAGCAAGAAGTAATCAATATCAAACACAAAGAAACAAATCTCCAGTCAAGCCAGGTTGGTATGTCTCAAATCCAAACACATCCCATATTTCCTCCATGTATAAGAGTAATCATTCATTAATTCATCTACCGAACGAGGACAGTTGAAGTAAAAATGAGTGCTTTTTGATGATAATCTGTATGTATATGGTGGATATCCGTATGTATGATATTAGAGATCGGCTCTCGCTACCTCTTCTTTTGTTTTTAGACTAAATCATATATCGAACTAGCCATACTAGGTTGCTTTCTGATAGCATATCTAATATAAAGGGATTGATTTACTTTTATACTACATACTAAAGCAATAAGTAGATCAGATCTATGTTCTCTTTGCTAGATTTGGTTTTATGATTGTTATTGCTTCCTATTTCAGTATTTTGAAATCTAAGTTGTTTTGATCAATATCTATGTAGAAAAACAATGGCCAAAGATAGCAAGTTTCTAGAATCCCTAAGATCCAAAGTTTCGATTTAGCCATAGCAGTGGCTGTGACTTAGTTTATTGTAAGATACTTTCAATTAATAATATGATAACACCCAAGTAGGGTGTTTGATTCTTTAACACAAACTCGCAGCTCAAGCTCTGCAAATTCGAGCTTGGTTTTCTCGGCCAAACTCTCAACCAAAAACTAGCTACGAGACTTAGTTTTTAGGGTTTTCAATCTTATTCAACTCAACTATCGATTACATTACCTTTTTAGTTCTTTAATAGAACTTACAAACAACCTTAAACGCAAAGGAAACCCAAATAAACAACGAAAACGAAAATAGTCCAATTCCTAAAGCAAATACGGAAACTTAAAACGCAAGTAAAAAACATAGTTTTGATGCCATCTTCAAAGCCCTCGTTAGCAGCCTTCCAGTTGTTGAATTGATCACCCAACCCCTTGCTTCTGCACTAGAAAGTGCAAGCTTTCATGTGGTATGAGCCTTGAAACGTGATTCCCAACAAGTTATTGTGAATCAGACTCCAAAATGACCTACCTACAATTGCTCCATGCCTTGGGGTTTTGTCGACCTTGAAAACAACACTTCCCAGCCTTCCTTCGAGGTCCCAATCATCTCCATTTGTTTATCAACTTGCAAGGTTCAAGACAAACCCTTCCAATCTAATTTCTATCAAGCCAAACGCAAGAAACAGGCTTGTAAAGGGCGGTACGCGAAACAGCTTCAACACTTAGACAAAAATCCAGGTTCTTCCCATGAGTTGGATTGGCTTCTTGATCACACCATTTCCACTTAAATATTGATCGGATTGGAATCATATCACGCCCTCCCTCTTCAAAAAGCTTTGCCCTTGAAGCTGGATCTTTCCTCTTCTCAAATCGGTCACAAAACTGGTTCCAAATGGGCTCAAAAAGCGACTGCTCAGACAACAATTTCTAGAAAATAAGGTTATTGTTCTTTGAGCTTGGGATGTGGAATTCTTGATTCCATCTTCGGCAGCCCGATTCATTGTCTCCATATGTTTCTCTCAACCCTTAATTACATTACGAACCTATTCCTAACCTCGATTTATCTCCATCGTCATGGAATCGACGTTTTAATCTTTCCTGACGTCAGCTTAATTCAAATTCTGGAAACCCTGAATTTTTGAATTTGATTTTGGCGTTTCCATCTCGAACTTCCCCGACTCCAATTGATCATTCTCATAGCTTCCTGGGAGCTTCCCCGAAGATTCCATAACACCCGCTGGGTCGATTCACCTCCAAACTTCCCATCCCATTCTCACGCGTTCAACTAGTGTTCGAGCTTCAACAGAGGTGCTGGAGTACGATGAGGATCCTGCAAAACAGAAGATGTCGACTCCATTGGAGGAGGGTAAGAGCTTCCCTGGAGTGGAAGGAACGCGTCGAGCTGCTCGGGGTGGGTCGGTTCGTTCCCAGGAGTGCCCCAGTCGTGGGGTTACTGCGCAATCAAATTGTTAGGGTCTCCCCAGCCAAATATGGATAGCTTGCATCGGCACAGCATCACAAAGCAACTCGTCCTTATAATTACCGATTTCCAAATTGATTCGAGTTTGCTTGGTTACCTTGGTTGACCCGTAGTCGTTGAGCCAATGCAATCCATAGGGCTCGACAGGTTTACTTGTTGCCAATCCCAGTTGTTTAACGGCGTCGTGGCTAATTACGTTCGTAAAACTGCCCCCAGCGACGACCATTGACAAACACTTACCACTGACCAAGCACCTAGTATGTAAGAGGTTGGTTCGTTGGCCTTCTTCTGCTTCGCATTCCATAGACAAGGCCCAGAGATTCATCTCAGACATAAAAGGACCCTTCTCAGCTTTGATTTCTTCATTTACGTCTTCATCAGAGGACTCACTAATCACCTTCTTATGCACGTCGTCGTCATCAGAGATGTACTCACCATCTTGCAGGACCAATGCCTTAACATTGGGGCACTGATTGGCCTTATGGCCTCGGTCATGACACTTAAAGCATTGAATCGAGCCACTCGAGGCCCCTGCGCGTTCAGAATTCTGCGTGAGAGGATTTCACGGCGCGAATTTGGGTACCTCAAGTCTGTGAGGTAGAGTGGCAGCCTCAGCAGAGCCTTCAATAGCCATTTTATGTCCAGCAAACCTCCTCCCCGAAGCGCCTTTCTGTTGTTTCTCGATACTTACCGTTAGATGCACTGCTTCGTCTAAATCAACAAACGCCCTTAACTCCACCTCCTGAAGAATTTCACGACTTAAGCCATTGAGGAAATTAGCGATCATAGCTTCCCTGTCCTCCCTAACGTCAGCTCGTAGCAATAACAGCTCCAATTCATGAAAATATTCATCAACGCATCGCGAGCCCTGTTTAATCCCTTGCAGTGATTCGTGCAGCTCACATAAATAGTACGCATGGACAAACTTTTCGCTCATAAGTCCCCGTAACTCTTCCCATGTAGCCACGGAATGTTGGAGATTTCGTCGTTGACGAAGTTACAATTGTTCCCGCCACTGAGCTACATAATCTGAGAACTCATAGGTGATCATTGCTAACTTCTGTTGCTCGTTAAATTGACCACATTGGATAAAAAGGATGACCTTCCTCTCCCAATCGAGGTACGTAGAAGCGCTCAACGTTCCCTGGAATGCTGGAGCCGTCAGCTTGATCCCGTGAGGGATTCCCGTCTCTGTTTCCGCTCGTCCATCCCTGGGTTTACAACGTTCACGAAATGGCCATCCCTGATCATGATCAATAGGGATGGCAAATTACCCACCCATGGGTAATTATACTCAAACCCAAGTAGACCCATTGATAATGGGTTGGGTATGGGTGAAGTGCATATGGGTTTGGGGGGTTTATAGATGGGTATGGGTAAGGTATGAATATTGCTTCCATAATCTAAATGGGTATGGGTTGGATATGAATATTTATTTACTTGATGGTGTTTTAACTACACATGCAAAAATTGGACCTATTTGTAAAACTTGAAAAGTTTAGGTACCAAAATGTAAGACAAAAAAATTTTAGGTACCAAAACGTAATTTTCCATCAATATTTTGAGGACTTATATGCAAAAAAATTAAATTTAGGTACTAAATATGCATATCTATTAAGTTTGGGTACCAAACTGTAATTTGTATTTGGGCATGGGTACAAACCCAAATCCATTTGATGTAAACCCAACTCAACCCAAAGTAAATGGGTATGGGTATAAACCCATCAAACTCTATCCATATCCATCTATTTGGATTTAATACCCAACCCAATTGGGTTGGATAGTAAGAAACCCATGGGTATGGGCAAAGTTGCCATCCCTAATGATCAATCACCGCCACCAATAGCATTTGTTCGAGCTCCTGCACCCTCGCCAACAACTCCTGATTGGCCTCGCCGGTTTGCCCTTCCAACTAAATTTAGCGGTTGCCGCCATGCTCTGCCACAGCTCTTGGCGGAACAGGGGCCTAGACTGTCGAGCTCAAGTCGGCCAATTTCCTTTGGATTTGGTCGAATTGAGTCTGGAACGTCGCCACGATCAACTGCAGAAGGTCCGAATTTATGATGGTTGCATCGCCCATCACTTGATCTTCAAATTGATTTGTCGCCTCAGACTCAGACGTACTCTCTATTTTGGAACGTAAAATAGCAGGGTCTCTGTCGATAGGACCTTTCAATTAATAATCTGATAACACCCATGTAGGGTGTTTGATTCTTTAACACGAACTCGCAGCTCAAGCTCTGTAAATTCGAGCTTGGTTTTCTCGGCCAAACTCTCAACTAAAAACTAGCTACGAGACTTAGTTTTTAGGGTTTTCAATCTTATTCCACTCAACTTTCGATTACATTACCTTCGTAGGTCTTAAATAGAACTTAGAAACAACCCTAAACGCAAAGGAAACCCAAATAAACAAGGAAAACGAAAACAGTCCAAATTCTAAAGCAATACGGAAACTTAAAACGAAAGTAAAAAACATAAATTTTGATGCCATCTTGAAAGCACTTGTTGGCAGCCTTCCAGTTGTTGAATGATCACCCAACCCCTTGCTTCTGTACTAGAAAGTACAAGCTTTCATGTGGTATGAGCCTTGAAACGCGATTCCCAGCAAGTTGTTGTGAATCGGACTCCAAAGTGACCTGCCTGCAACTGCTTCATGCCTTAGGCAATTCATGGCAGTTTGCCTGTGTTGCCATGGGGTTTTATCGAGCTTGAAAACAACACTTCCCAGCCTTCCCTCGAGGTCCCAGACATCCCCATTTTTTAGCAACTTGCAAGGTTCAAAACAAACCCTTCCAATCCAATTTCTATCAAGCCAAACGCAAGAAACAGGCTTGTAAAGAGCGCTACCAGAAACAACTTCAACACTTGGCAAAAAATCCAGGTTCTTCCCATGAGTTGGATTGGCTTCTTGATCACACAATTTCCATTTAGAGATTGATCCAATTGGGATCATATCATAATCTTAACCATTTTTTTCCAAACCATTACCGATATTATACCCCTAAATTCCAACCCTAAACAAAGACGTAACTTTTTTCCTTCTCCTGAAATCACAAGCAGTGGCTGTGATTTTTCGGTTATCTTAAAATTATTTAGTTTCAATACTTAGTAGAACAAATGATCCTTTTAGTCACGATAAATACCAATTCAGCCAACAGTTTGAGAAATTAAATCCTAGCTATTTGGGACTCGGAATCCAAATTTAATGAAGAACCCAGAACAACAAATTTAAAGAAAAACCTACCGAAACCAAACCCCCGTCGTCGGTTCTGGTGCAGGCGGGGCTGCTGCCGGTTTCCGTTTTGCCTCCCTTCCCTCGGAAGAGACCAGAATCCATGAAAAATAAACAAAAAGAACAGATCAGAGTCCCTCTAGAATCGAAATCGAAGAGTAGAAATGGATAAACCACAGTCAAAATTAATTAAACCCATCTAACCTAGGAAAAGCAAAACAAATAGAGGAACTCACCGAAGGACCAAAATCGGTGTTGTAGTTCTTGTCGCTGGCAGCAAAGGCTCGCCGCCCTACTTTCCCCCTCATTCGAAACCAACCCCAGAAAATCCAAAATAAACAAAAATCCATATCAGAATCTTAATTAAAACAAAAACTAGCCTAAGAAGTCGACATGCAAGAGGACCCTACCTCGATCTATTGTCGCCGACGAGGTTTCGCCGCCCTTACCGTTGTTGTTAACAGAGAGGCAGGGAATGGTGAGTGAGAGAGAAGAAGGCAGAATGAGAGAGAGAGAGAGAGAGAGAGAGAGAGAGGGAGAGAGAGAGAGAGAGGAAGGTGTTTTCGGGTCATTTGGCCAGCATGAGGGACTAGAAGGAAGAGAGTTTCGTCGCCGTTTTCTAGTGAATGGAACGAGAGAGAAGCGGAAAATCGACAGAGAGAGAGAGAGTGAAGGTCGCCGTTTGGTTTAGGTGAGACAATATCATATTAGGGTTTATTTCTTCTTAAGGATAAATTTATACCTCTCGGGTCTGGACGACCAAATCACCCCTAGGGTGTTCGACATGGTTTAGGTGAGACAGTATCATATTAGGGTTTATTTCTTCTTAAGGATAAATTTATACCCTCTCGGGTCTGGACGACCAAATCACCCCTAGGGTGTTCGACATATATCTGTTTACAATGGTACCCCTCTGTCTGTTTAAAACGAATAAATGTGAGGCTACAGTCGGGTTTCGAACCCATTACCTCTGAATAGTAAGCCAATTCATCACAGTAAGCTTACCAGTTGGTCTGCGAGAATGTTGTTTATTCAATTAACGTTTTCTTTTAATGATATATTATGTTTTATTAAACTTTATTAACACGAAATAATATCCAAGTGAGGTCAATTCCATTCTTTTCAAATACGTAAATCTTTCTTATTTCAAAACTAAACAAAATCATTTATTTGATAATCACAACGAATGGAACGTGGTTACAACTAAAATATCAAAGTTCTTAATGAACTATGTGGACTTTGATCCCGTGTTACGGGTACGTAGGCAACCGATAAGGTTCAAGTCCAACTAATTAAAAAACTTTATTCTTTAAATGAACGCAGTAGGTGTATAATAAAATCATAAATTAATACGATAAAACTCTTTAGCGGTCCAGCGGGACCCTACAAATACCAATAATTATTAACTCCCAACTCGTATAAACTTACCGACTTAAGTAGTACCAATTTTGGGCATTGTTGGGTGTGATTTCACTTCTCCACACATAACCGTACTCCCGAACCTAGATTTCTCTTTCGCTGACCAAGTCTCGGTTTTGACCCTAAGGTTAGAGCCTACCTAAGAGTGTTCGATCCACTCGAAGTAAGATCGATGGCGACTCCCAAAAACGAACGCGACCTTCCCCCGAGGGACGGTTGCGACAGTTCGAACCCTCAAACATCACCGAAAACACTATAGTACAAAAATACGAGTGTCGGATTAGACTATCGATAAATCGAACTCTAAAAGGGTTAGTGGGGCGACGCCAAGGGGAATTTGGGGCGGCGGGGGTTTAAGGTTGTGAGGGGTTTTTTTGTTTGCTGGGGGAATTATTAGGGGGGCGAGCAGCTCCTCCCCTTTAGATTTACATAATTTTTTTAAATATAATAATAATAGTTATTATTATTATTATTCCTAGTTCGCGGTTGTAACTCTTCGTACGTACCTGTTATTTCCACCGTTCATGTATTATGGTCGAAGCTGAACCCAAAAGTCGGGGTGTTACACTTGTTTTCGCTTCTTTTCGTCCCTTTCAATTCCGAGGTCAGTTTCACCTTCTACGATCTGAAGCATACTAAAACAAAGTGCAACCTAGCGTAAAACCACACCTTACGAAGTAGAAATGAATCAAACGCATAAGGAAAACGGGGATAAAATGTGTACAAGTAGACCTGAATCATCCCTTGAATCTGTATGTTTAGTAATTTAATTTCTATCGTGTTTTTTGCTCTAGGCATATTTTTTTGTTAGATTTCAGGGTTTGCTGCATTGTGGTCACCTGACAGCCACAGGGGCTTGGTCCTTGACTTTTCCATGCAAAGGGTGGAAATTAAGTTAAGGACTTAGCCTTCGCCAAATAAGTATTATAGAGCTGCCCATATCGGGGCAAAAATGCTCTCTTATCGTTGGTCAGCTGATGTCCCTTCCTTTTCGTTTCACCCTGAAAAGGCTCTATTTTTGTACTCTATATCTACTGTTTCAGCCTGAGAATATCTCTGCAAAAAAAAAAAAAAAAACCCCATTACTGGAATAAGGAGCAAAGCATTGACCATGGTGAGAGAATTATTAGGAGGAAAATCAAAAGAGAAAATGGACTCTGAATCTATATCTAAGCCCCTCCTCACAACCAGACCTTCTTCCCATTGGTCGGCTACCTGAGGTGACCATGGAAAACCCACTTCCACAGTCCCCATCCTTTATTTTGAAGATATGTATCTCAGAGCCATTCCCTGCCTCCTGTCTCTTATCCAATGGGAATGACAGTTTCTCAACCTTATCTGTCAACTCGCTATCCCTCTCGTCTAATGTTCATGCTCCAGATCTGCTGGCAACAGACCACAGCATGAGTGGGAGATCGTCGGGCCTTCTCCCCTCTTATAGTCCTTTGAGAAAAATCTGAAAATCATCCATTGTTTTGCCCAATCTTCGTACTTCTTCCCCAAGACTTCATATCATCTTCTACATCCGCCCAATCGACAAGAATTCACGACCAAAGTCGGCACTAGAAGAAAAAGACACAAAGCAGCTAGAGACAAAGATGTTGCTCCAGTAAACTCCAGTGAACGTAGAAGTAAAGCATCCGATATGGGAATCATGGAGAAGCAATCGCTTTCTCTAAAGCAGATTTCCTCCTTGAAAATTCTCGGAACGAGAAACTGAAGATTCCAATCGCCGGTTGTCGCAAAGATTAAATCGAGCCATGCCACAAAAGTGGTCTCGGAAAAGCTTGTGATTCATTCCATCAGCCGTGAGTACGAGAACAAAGGATGCGGCGAAAAAAGCCTAGAAGCCCCAAAGAAGGTCTCGCCTAGAAGAGCGACTGCTGGCGTGCCATCGAGACCGTTTTGCATGTTGTCGATCAACCCTAAGATCAAGTAGAGGCGTTACCTCACCAAGCGGATTTTCAATAACAAACTGCTGGTGGATTCGAGCGAAGAAGTCAAAGAGGAATCCCTTGCCACTGTAGCTGCTATTGAAGACAAGAAGAATCAAGAAGCCCCATCATCACCCGCAAGGTGAATCGCCAGTTGTAGAGGGACGGAGAGGAAGGGGAAATCATTTTTTTAATTTTTGAATTATTATTAATTAAATTTTGATGTGACTGTCGACATGGCATCTACGTGTCATCCACTATTTGGTCAACAGTTAACTCTAACGGTCAACAAAATCGTCAGGACATAAATGACACAAGCTATCATATGTCGAGATATAATTGGAATATTAAATACATTGGGACATAAATTGACATTTTGGATAGTTCGAGTTTCATAACCGAGTTATCCATATATTTTAATTAGGATTTGGATATAAAAAAACCCAAATGAATTTTTGCACCCATTGGATCTTGGGTTTGCATCGCCATTTTTATCCAACCTTTATTGGGCCCAAGGATTTGCATCGCTGGACCTGATGTGCGACCGAAGAGAGAGAATAATTCACATCTCTTTATTTGTTATGCGCCCATAGAGGGAGAGGTGATGACGACAACTGGTAATGTTTATCTCTCTAGTTTGTACCTGATGTGTGATTGGTGAGAGAGACCAATTCACCTCTTTTCATTTGTTATGTCGCCCGTAGAGAGATCAAGAGAGTGAGAGAGACGGGTGGTATAATTTTGTGTATTTACTATTTTGTATCATTGGTTTGTATAATTTTTTTATTTTTATGATATGGGTTGTATAGTTTGTAATATTTGTATATGTTTAGAGATGATTTGTATACTTTTATAATATGGTTTGTATACTTTGTGTTGTTGGTTCGTATACCTTTATTATTTGAGTTGTATACTTTCAAATATTAATTTGTAAATTTTTATATAATTTATATACTTGGTTGCATTGGTTTGTATATTTTCTATTATCGGTTCGTAAACTTTTATTATCGGCTTTGTATAGTTTGTATTGATTTGTATATCATCTGTTATTGGTTTGTTCATTTTTATATTTTGGTTGTTATATTTTCTATTATTGGTTTGTAAACTTTTAGGACTTTACTATGGTGACTTGTAAGTCACCAAGACTTGGAGAAAACGGTCTACCTCTTTCACTAAAAGGTTAAATACTTTCCAAAAAAAATTGGTCTACCATTTCCACCAAGCAATATACATATTCCAACAATGGGCCAACCGCTTCCAACAAGTGGTCGACTTGTGAACATTGCTAATGACACCATCACATATAATTAGAGGAGTCCAATATTAATAGAAATGTTTGCTGGTAAGAGAGTTAAAATTAGTACAAATGATGGAGTATAGATGAAAAGTTTCTCGAGTGATTGTTCTCCGATAAATTTGGAAAATGTTCTGCATATTTATTTTTTAGATTTGACTTACAATGTAGTGAATTTCATCTATCCATGAAATTCTAAGTGTGCTTGTTTTTATTCAATAGTTGTCTTGTGATAGTTATACTTTGTTGCTATGGTTGTTATGACGATACTTAAAAAGTAGAGTACAATTGTGTCATCTGCAATGTCTATAAATCTCATATTATCTTGCTTTATGGGTTATTCCACAAGTGTTAAAAGACTGTGTGTGTGTGTGTGTTTTTTTTTTTTTTTTTGTCTGAACCTATAATCTGTGTAGAGATTTGGTTG